AAGATCCCACGTGCCGCAACTAAGACCCGGTGCAGCCAAAATGAATAAATAAATATTCCAAAAAACAAAAAAAATCAGAGTTGGGGAAAAAAGGCCTTAAAGATTTTTAAAAACCCAAACCACTCTCTCATTCCAACCGCTTCCCACTCCTATCCCTTGTTGTAACACTACCCTGGCCCAAAGTAAGGAGCTAAGCTTCTCTCAGGTTCAACTTAAACCTTTGCTCTAAGAAACTCACAACCTCCTCAGGCCCATTCCATTCCAAACAGCTGATAGATCAGCCATTGCTTAATCCATTCAATGAACATATATATATGGGCTGCCTCCTCTGTGCTAGGCACTGGAGGTCAGACCATATATTGAGACAAAAATGGGACCTCCTATTACCCACTGCATGGTCCTATGTGCCCTTAGGGCCTACAGAGAACACAGAGAACAATGTTGCCTAAATTGGTCCCGAATGAAGTCAGAATATAAGGTGGCAGTTCTCCACAGTCCCTCCCCGGGACTTCCCTGGCGGTCCAGTGGTTAAGACTCTGTGCTTCCACCGCAGGGGGCACGAGTTCAATCCCTGGTCAGGGAACTAAGAAACGGTAAGCTGCAAGGCGCGGCCAAAAACGAAAAAGCAGTCCCTCCCCATTATCCTCTCCCCTGTAGGCCCCTCCCCATGGTCTCCTCCACAACACCCTGCCAACACACCCTCAGCTCTTTTTATCTCCCAAGAATTCCAAATTCTTGCACTCAGAGGTTTTGGGAATGTTCGCTATCACAATTACTCCTGTGGAGACACCAATTTTCCAGATTCCTCCAAGTGTGACACTCAGAGCTGAGTTCTGAATTCAAGCTGCATGGCTCCTGAGTGCATTCTTAAGCAGTTCGTTCCAGTGCTTCTCAGTGCCCCAGGAGTTTTCTCTTCCCCCTGTAGCTAGAATGCCCCTTCCAACACCCTAGCTTTCTCACATGAACTTCTACTCATCCCGCAAGACCCACCTGGAAGAGAGCTCCTTGGTCTCTTCTCTAACCACCGCAAGCAGAGGAGATGCTTCGATGACCCCAGTGGATGGTGTCTGTACCCGTCTTCAACACATCTCCTTATATGAGATAAAAATCTGACCCCCTTTTACTCCCGGTGAAGGAACAATTTCCTATAACTGTCTAACAGTAATTACCTAGAGAAACTCTCTGTATGAATGCTAAGATTGCTGACTTGTGTTAAGATATGCATATAAAGAACTTACAAAGTTAAAACGTCTGGACAGGGCTGGCTCCCACCTGGTGCAGTCTCTTCTGGCTTTCAACACCTGAAGAGGCTGCCACTGGACAAGGGAGCTGCAGGTGGCTTACCAGCTAACCTGGTAAGCTGCAGGCTAGAGATCGATATTGACCAAAATAGAGCCAAGATGTCTGTGAGGAAACTCCTAAGCAAGGAATGGCAGTCACTCAGAAGAGACAGTCCAGACAGAAGCAGGGAAATGAGGAACCCAATGTACCAAAGTTGGGCATATCCTTTGGAGACAGAATCCGGCTACAACCAAAGCAAAGACAGACTCAGATAAGGACAGTGAGTTCTGAGAACAAATTTCATTTTATGATAGCACCAGAAATCTATACTTGTAAGTCAGACCGTTTTTATATTTCTTCTTCCTTTTCTTTTTTTTGGCTGTGAGGTGAGGCTTACGGGAGTTCCCCAACCAGGGACTGAACCCAGGCCATGGCAGTGAAAGTGCCAAGTCCTAAGCACTAACCACTAGACCACCAGGGAACTCTCGTTTTTATATTTCTTCTATTTCCTTATATTTTCTCCCTTCGTATCCAGTAAAGTTCCAGGCTGTCTTAACTGTGCTCAGATGAACTGAGGGTAAGAGTTTTTACCATTCTTGGGCCTGAAGATTAGATTATCACCAGCCCACGACTAACGGCAGCCAAAGGGTGAAAATGGTAGTCCAAGTGAAAGAATCCTCCAAAGGTAAGTAAAATTTAGGGAACAACAATGGCTGTGGAATCCAGCTACTCTTCCCCATCTAAAAATTCTCTTTTCAATATTAAATCTTAGAGTTTGTGGTTTTATTTTCTTCTAAAATCTGCCCCCCCGCAATAAATTGTGAGTATCTTGAAAGGACCTTGTCATTTTCACCAATGAAGTGTACACGTGTGCTTGGAACACAGTAGGGACTCAAATGTTTGTTGATGGAATGAATGAAGCAAGGCATTGACTTTCAAAGTTTTAAGGCACTTTTAAAGGCCATCCAGTCCAATCCTTTTCCGTACATTTGTCCAACAGAACTTTCGCAGGTTGTCATAAAGTTCATTCAAACAAATATCAATGAAATGTCTACAACAGTTAAGATGCTGTGCTTTCAGGAACAAGAAAAAGACCAGTCACCAGCACAACAAATGTTTATTGAGGGCCTACTGTGTGCCAGCCACCATAAGAGGCCCTACAGATATTACAATGAGTAAGACACACATAGCATCTTAGGGAATTCATGGAGAAGAAGATAAATGGATAACAAGTACCTATAACACTGTTACAGATGGAAAATGTTAAGCGTTTTCAAAGGCTATTGGGAATCAGAGGTCAAAAAGGAAAACCAAGGTTTCAAAAGAACTTACGGGACACTGCCATTCAGGAATGGGACAATATTTTGTGGCTTAACCTTACAGTTCAGGAATAAAAACTACTAGTTTCTAACTTAAGTGGTTGATGGAAATGGCTTGGTAGGTTTTGATGAAAATCAATATTCTCTCTTCATATCTGTATCATTATGTCAACTGACAGTGACACTGGATTTTGAAAAGCAAGAATACAGATCAGTTCTCTTTTAATGGAAATCATAATCGAAACTGAGCTCTAAATAACAAAGTTCTTGTCACATGTGACTATATGACCTACAGAAACACAGACTGGTCAACTTGAGTAATAATAAAAATATATATAAAGAATAAATCCTAGCCTTACTTATTTAACAGCAACTGCATAATAAAATATCTTCTGTTACTTACACTGTAAACTGGGAAAGTGAAAATTAAGCTTAATAAATAGCTAAACATTGCATTTATGTTGTCCCATAATCAAATGAAACTTATCTTCACTCTCTGTCATATACGCGACTTCAGCTTCTCCAAATACTCTGAAATGCACCCGGACTAAAGCTGTTTCCTTCAGGATAAACACAGTGAAACGGAAGTCAGAAGACAGGAGCCAGGCCCGGCTCCGCCACTAGCTACATGAATTTGGGCAGGTAAATTCTCTGGCCTAATTTTCTCATCTGTAAAATGAAGCCGTTACAGCAAGTAACCTCTAAGAGCCCTTTGAACACTTAGGAAAAAAACAAAAAAACAAAAAAACTATGAAAACTAACCTCTACTCCCAAAGCATCAACCAAAGCAAAAAGTTTCAAAACTAATTATTAAAGGAGCTTAGGTTTAACTACCTTTCTGCCTCTCTTACTTGATTCAACAAACTTACTTATGAATTTCCTACCGCAGTTCGGTTGAGCAGTTTCATCTCCAGTAGTTACAGACAGAGAAAGTGATGTCTATCAATATATTCTTTTTAAACCACGATTCTGTGACAAAGAATTTCTAGGTCCAGAAGCAATCTCTTTTGTAGAATTTTGCCTCCGTGGAAAAGTTAAACACTCATAAGCCTTCTTCATGAATTTCAAATGGTTTCTACATCCATGTATTCCACTGCAGCCATGAATTTCTTCTGTTTTTGGCAGACTGCTTGCCATTGATGTATGTTTACAATGTTTTCCCTTGAATCTGCACAGGAAGTGAATCAGGCACCATTTGGCCATTTGTATGGAGTATGATGTAGACAAAAATATGTCATTAATATAGTCATCCTAGTTATACTGAAGAACCTATGATATGAATAGACCTATCAGGCATATTTTTTGAAGCCACATTGTATGCAAAGCACTGAAATGACTATAAAGACAGTATGAACACTTTGTTGCTTTACCTTTGCCTGAAATTTTACAAGTCACCAAGAAAAAAATATTCTCTACCTCAGCATAATTTAAGCTTACATTAAGAAAAGGTAACTACTATTTTAAGGTTAAAAGCTCCTTGACATATACCTCTATAATGTGACATTTTTTAGAATACTAGTTGATATTATAAAAGCAACAATTCCAGATCAAAACCATAACTACTATATTCAAGCTTCATTCCTCTGGAAATTAGCTTCATCTGCATAATTTCTGCATTAAAGGACACTAAGTTAAAGCAAAAAACGCACTGTCTGAAAAACAAGGGAGAATACTAAAGGCAGAACAACTAGTTTTACTTCGGCAAATTAAGCAAAATTAGGCAAAAAGAAAGGAAGCAAGCAAAGGGAAGGAGCTCAAGAGCTATTTGCAGCAGTGGTCCCTTGAAAGTTCTAGGAGCTTCCCCTTGAGCTTGAAGAGACAAGGAGGGCAAAGCAGAGAAGTCACCTCTCCTGGGCGGAAGCCCTAATACTCTTCACAACTTGCAATATTCGTTGAATTCAGTGTAAGATGTCTGGGAGATCTGGATTCGGTGGGAATGTCTGGGAGAAGGGAGTGGCATTTGCTTTCCTGGGTCTGGAGCCTTAACAACTATACCAGAGTTCTCAAAACCCCTTAGTTATGTCACAGAAGCGGCTTGGAGCATCCTCCCCACGCACACACCTGCAGGACCGGGCAGCTCCACCCTCTCCCCTTCCTGTCCTCGAAGCTGGACCAAGGTCCAGTGGCCGGTGCACCGTTAGTCCAAGGGCCACCCTGGCCCCGGCAGGCGCCACCCGGGCAAGGCCAGACAGAACGCCGCTGTCCGGGCTCCGCTTTCCGGAGCCACGCAGAGGCGGCCACGCGCAGCTGGACACCGGCAGCACCAGGATGCGCATTATAATAACAACTTGGGAGAGCGCTCTACACTCGCGCCGACGTGGAGGCACAGCCCCTGAAGCGGGCTCTGGGACCGCCGGCCCGTCCCGCCCCTCCTCGCGGCCGAGGGGCAGCGGTTCGTACCTGTCCTCCGAGACACTGATGACGCCCTCCTCCTTGGGCACGATCACGGCCATATTCACCACCTCCTGAGACCCCTCGACCCGCTGCAGCAGGATCGGCTTGCGGGTCAGCGGCTTGGGCTGGATCTCTGCCGCCATCGGAGGAGAGGGCGCACTGCGGGCGCCGCCGCCAACTGCGCCGCGGGGTCGAGCTGAGGAGACCGCTCGGGCACGGGCACAAGCTGAGACAGGGACTCTTGTTGGCCGGAGCGGGCCGCCGGGGACCCGCGATCATAGCCTGGCCGGCGCTCCCGGGAACGACTCCGCGCTCCCGGTTTCGAGCACCGAAACCTCCACGACCGGCGCTGCAACCCGGCAACACCACCGGAGGAGGGGGCGGAGAGCCGGGGGGCGGGGCCGGAGGGGGCGGAGCCTGCCGCAGGGGGTGGCCGCTGGTGGGCGCCAGGGCGGCTGCACTACCGGAAGGGTGGTGGAGGAGGAGGGGAAACTGAAAAAGGAGGCGGGGAGCTGGCGGCCCAATGCGCATGCGTCAGACCACGAGCCTATTTCCACCCCGCCCCTCCGCTATTCCCGAAGCCGCGCGGCACCGCCTCTAGAACGCATGCGCCTTCCATGATCCGCGGCCTCCTCGCCACCTTCCACACCCAGTATTTAGTCCCCTCCCCCTTTAATCTCCCGTGAACGCGCGCGTACACATTCCTGGGAACGCGCTTGCCAGTGGCCCCGCCCACTCCGAAATCCCTGAAAAGGGGGCGGTGGTGGGGCGGGGAAAAGCGCGCCTGGGCGAGGCCGGAAAGAGAAGTAACCCGCCGGAAGGAAAGAAGCTGAGCTAGTGGGGACGTGACTGGGCATGCGCTCGAGTTACCTGTCCGGCGCGGCCTTGCAATGAAGCGTGGTTTACAGCTCCCAACACGCACCAGCCACAGGCCTCCGATTGGCACCCCCATGGGCTTCTGGGAGTTGTAGTTTTTCAGAGGCTTCGCTTCCTTGTCCTGAAATGACCTATCGCCCACTTCTCACCGCTCCTGGCCCGAGGGGCTCCGCGGCCTCCCGGGCGATTGGCCGAGTCACGGCTGGGTCTGGCCTCTAAGGGCAGCCATTGCGGAGCAGACAGTCGCTACGGCCCTGCCACTGCACATAATAGTGGAGCTCCAGGAGTGGGGAAAGAAGAAAAGCTGTCATGCAAGCATGCTTGATAGAGGTTAGAGATGATCTGTAGTGTTAACCTCCTCGTTTTCTTAGATGGTTAAGTTACTAGACCAGGATTACTTTAGCTTCAAGTTAGGGCTGTAGCACCCCCAGACTTGAACTCAGGCGCCCCTGCTCCTCACTTCTTCCCATTCCCCAGTAATCCTTCCTTTCTAGATTGCTCCAGAGACGATGGATAGAATAATCTGTGATTCGTGAATGCATGTTAGGTGCCTGGCAAAGGGCCTGTCATGCGGAGTAGTTGGTTATGTGATAATCCCACTAAGCCCTTCCACAGTTAAGAAGCTAGCTGAGGAGTGGTCATGGTCTCTGTGGTGTAATTGGGCTGGCAAGGGCTCTGAAGGTGAGAAAAATAATATGCCAGAGCTAGACAAAGAATGGGACAGGCCGGGTAGAAATGCATTTTATAAGGCAGGTTTTTGGGCAGCCGAGACGGTAGGTAAGCTGGACCTGTCTCAAAGCACAGTGCAAAACAGGGCTTTCCACTTCTCTGAGCCTCCAGTTCCCCATCTGCCAAGTGGAGGATAATAACACCTACCTTGGGTTGTTGTGAGGCTTACAAGTGACAGATTTTAAGTGCCTTCATACACAGTAGGTTCTTTAAGATTCCAGGAATTAGGACATGGACATATTCAGGGGGACATTATTCAGCCTGCCACAGTGGTTTTAAATACCATCCATAAGCTCCTGACTCCCATAATAATCTCTACCCTGACCACATTTCTAACTCCAGGCTCATGTGTCTAAAGCTACTCCACTTTGTCACTTAACTGTTTAATAGGTGTTCCAAACATTCCCAAATAGTATCTTTAAATCTACTGCATCATTCACCCAGTTGTTCAAAACTAACTTTCTAGGAGTAATCCTTGACCCTTCTCCTTTCCTTTACAATTCTATCCAGACCATTTAGAAGTCCTATCAGCTCCACCACCTCCAAAGTATAGCTTGAATTTTCCCATTTATATCATCTCCACCCCAGTCCAAGTCACCATAATCTCTGGCCTCTACTACCATGGTAGCCTAACTGCTTTCTCTATTTCTTCTCTTGAACCCATACAATCCATTTTTATCAAAGTAGCCAGAAGGATTTTGTTTTAAAATATAAACCAGATCAGTTCCTCCTCTGCTTAAAACACATCATTGGCTTACTGTTGCACTCGGGATGAAATGCCTCTCCAGCCTCACCTCTTCTGCTCAGTACTTTCCAAGCTCTGGCTTGGAAATTCCCCAGAAACACCAACCTCCTTCCTCCTGGTGGCCTTTGCACCAACTATGTTCACCTCTCAGGTACTTTCTTCTCACCACTCAGGCTTCAGCTCTGATGTTAGCTCCTTAAAGAGTCCTGACCTTCCAACTGAACCCTACTTCTTCTTAACACTCGTTGTCATATCACCCGGATTTGTTTTCTTCACAGTACTTACTTCTGCCCAAAATAATCTTGTGTGTTTCTTATTTAGCTCTTCATCTTCCTCTTCCAGAAGAGAAACACTGGGAGAGGAGAGACCTGTCTGCCTGTTCTTCGTGGTATTCCTAGCCTTTAGAATAGTACCTGGCACATCAGGAGGCATGTTGTTAAGTATTCGTTAAATAAATGAATAGAAAGGCCATTCAGGATCTGTTTAACTCTGTTCCGCTAGAGCATAATGGAAAGACTGGTATCTGGAACTTGCCCTAATTCCTGGGATCGGGTGATCCTTGGGAGAAGACACAGAACTGCAGATGATATCCAGCAGGCAGATGATAATAGTGGTATGGTAAAGGCAACAAGTGATTAATTGGTACCCAAGAGAAAGGCCTAGCATGAGATAAATGAGGGGTACTAATAGGCAGGTGAGAGGAAGGTAGTAGTTACAGTAGTTCTTAAACTTTTTAGGTCACAGACCTTATGAAAAATCAGTTGAATATTACAGATCTACTGGAGTGGGGGAGTGTATGTATATGTACACTTATATTTTATGTGCAGTTTTACGTGCAATTTTGCAAGGCACACAAGTATCAGAGACCCAGGTTGGGAACTCTTGCTAACTCTCAGGAAATCTAAGACCACCGCTCAGTCCCAATTCCCCACCCTCAGGAAAGGGCATTCTAATGGAGATTAAAGACGGAAAGAAGTAGGCTACTGCTAGAAAAATGATTCTCAAACTCCTTTGTTCATATTCCACCTTAAAGAATTTTGAAGAATTTCAGTATATAAATTTAAATATTCCAAAAAGTCTGAGTTCTAGGATCTTGTAAAAATTAACATTTGTTGTAAATAGTTCATGCTTGATGATATTTTATTGATTTCCCTGTAATACTATCTGAAACAACAAAAAAAATGTATATATATATTTAAATTCTATGATTTACTTAATATGCCAAGGCCATAAAGCTCTGATTTTTAAAAGTTTCTTCTACATTAACTGATCCTTACAATTGTTAGTACACAATAGGTCAAAACAACATAAGTATATTAGAAATGTATATAAAAAGTAAATTTTAACTAGAAATTTTTAATGAAAATCATTATTCAAGATGAACAAGGCTACGTTTTTACATTCCCCTGTATCCAAGGGTAAATAATGATTTACTGCTAGAATTAAGAGGATTCAGGATGAATTCTATTCCTATATTTTATCTTGTAAATATAAGGGCTAAGAAATCTCATTTATATAAATATTGGGTTGGCCAAAATGTTCGTTTGTTTTTTCCATAAGATGGCTCTAGTAGCACTTTGTTGTCTTTAACTTCAGTCAAAACAATTTTGTTAGATTGTATGTGACAGCTGTCATATCAGCGTGCATTTAAAAAAAGACATCAAAATTGGTGAATTTTTGTGTAGCCATTTTAATATTGAAGATGGAAAAAAGAAAGCAACATTTTCAGCCATTTATGCTTTATTATTTCAAGAAAGGTAAAAAAGATTTGTGCAGTGTATGGAGAAGGTGCTGTGACTGATCAAACATGTCAAAAGTGGTTTGCCAAGTTTCATGCTGGAGATTTCTCGCTGGACGATGCTCCACAGTCAGGTAGACCAGTTGAAGTTGATGGCAATCAAACCGAGACATTAATTGAGAACAATCAACAATATACCATGCAGGAGATAGACGACATACTCAAAATACCCAAATCAAGTGTTGAAAATCATTTGCACCAGCTTGGTTACGTTCATCACTTTGATGTTTGGGTTCCACATAAGTTAAGCAAAATAAATCTCCTTGACCGTATTTCCGCCAGTGAATCTCTACTTAAACGTAAGGAAAACGTTCCATTTTTAGAACAAATTGTGACAGGTGATGCAAAGTGGATACTGTACAATAATGTGGAACGGAAGAGATTGTGGAGCAAGTGAAATGAACCACCACCAACCCCACCAAAGGCCAGTCTTCATCCAAAGAAGGTGATGTTATGTATATGGTGGGATTGGAAGGGAGTCCTCTATTATGAACTCCTTCCGGAAAACCAAATGATTAATTCCAACAAGTACTGCTCCCAATTAGACCACCTGAAAGCAGCACTCAACAAAAAGCATCCAGAATCAGTCAACAGAAAACGCATAATCTTCCATCAGGATACCGCAAGACCACACGTTTCTTTGATGACCAGGCAAAAACTCTTAGAGCTTGGCTGGGAAGTTGTGATTCACCAACCATATTCACCAGACATTGCACCTTCGGATTTCCATTTATTTCGGTCTTTACAAAATTCTCTTAATGGAAAAAATTTCAATTCCCTGGAACACTGTAAAAGCACCTGGAACAGTTCTTTGCTCAAACAGATAAAAAGTTTTGGGAAGATGGGATTGTGAAGTTGCCTGAAAAATGGCAGTAGGTAGTGGAACAAAAGGGTGAATATGTTGTTCAATAAAGTTCTTGGTGAAAATGAAAAATGTGTCTTTTATTTTTACTTAAAAACCAAAGGAACTTTTTGGCCAACCCAACCCAATATATTTGAGTGAAACGAGTCTTGTTATATCAGTGCTACTCAACTCTTTGAATTCTTTCTGAGTTACATGTCAAAAATCACATTGTCAAGAGAAAATTTTTGCAAATCATATATCTGACAATGGACTTATATCTAGAATATATAAGTAACTCTTACAATTCAATAGTAAAAAAACAAATAAACCA